CCAAGGCCGCCCACACCTTGTCCCGTTCCTTGCATCTTCATGTGGCTTCGGTTTGGTAAAGTGAGTTTGTGTGTATATGTGTTTGTTTGTATATTCATACTTGTCTGTGTGTGTGTGTTTGTGTGTGTGCATATATATATATGTATATGTATATGTGTATATATACATATACAAACACACACACACACACGCACACACACACACACACACACACACACACACACATACACATACACATACACATGCACATGCACATGCACATGCACATGCACATGCACATGCACATGCACATGCACATGCACATGCACATGTACATGCACATGCACATGCACATGCACATGCACATACACATACACACCTATCTGTCTCCCACGCTATCTCTATGCGAAATAACCACTAGCATGTCTCTCCACTTTCCAGGGAACAGCTTTAGCAATTTACTGCATAGCGTGACACGACCTACAAAAAAATAATAATACAAAAACAAGCGTGGAATTAAAAAAAAAAAAAGGTACACACACAAAACTAAGACATACATGTACGTCAATTCATGATGTGAGTTTACTTTGTTTTTTGTTTTGTTTTTTCACACTGTTATTTTAGAAATTTATTTTACTCTGAGGACCTAAGGTGAATGCATAAAATGTGTGACATGAATGAAGTGAATAAAATGAATGCGCTGATATAATTGATGACGTAAAAATGGGTTTTGCGAAACTATCTAGAAAAAGGATTTTGTTACTAGTCAAAACCGCGTGCGTCGAAGGTTTACTTATATATATATTTACTTACCTTCCAGGAACTTTTTTTTTGTATAATGGACTTTCCTGGCATTGCGTCAACAAGGTACTTTTGTTGTTGTTGTTGTTTTTGTCAGTCATACAATCGAATCAATAGATAGCTAGATAAATAGATATATGGATAAATAGTATCAATATCGTGGGAAAAAAGTGATGATTTCCATTCCAAGGTCTGGTGAGGTTATTGTCATTCCCGGGAAATTATAGGCCTACTTTCCTTAGTAGCTATATCTTGAAATGGATGCGGAAAATACAAGAGTGCGACATGACCAAAGCAAAAAAAAAAAAAAAAAAAAAAGAGCGAGATGGCATTTGCGGATAAAAACTCTACGGGATCCACACGCGCATCTTCAGACATGGCTTATTTATAGAGCTACATGACATTACTCTAAGACATAGGTTCTCAAACGTGTTGAGATCGTTACCCTCGGCAGTGTTGAGATAGTTCACTATTACCCCTACTCCTTTTTTTCTAATTTGAAGGAAAGAAAAAAAATACTGCTTTTCTTCAATGTATCTTGTATGTAAGATTTTTATGTAGATTTTTAAAAATAAATATTATTTTATTTACATCTGTATTTTTTTCTCTCTATCGGTTTTAATTATTGATTAATCTATATTTTACCTTTTTAACAATATTCTCTAAAAAAAATGATTACTTTTCTAAAGTGCTTCGTTACTTTGCCGTTAAAGCTATGGGGGGTGGGAGACATATTTTCTCAAACTATGAAAATCAGCTCGAAAGAGTCCTTCAAGAAAGTGTCCTCAATATAACATTTTTTGACATCGTTATCAGTGACATCAACAAAAACCTAAACACAATGGCTTTCTTGTGAAGCTTACCACATCCAAAATGCAGTAAATGACTATATCATGGAATCCGGTTCTTAGTGAACATGCGCCTTAGCTATCCATTTTCACAAAGGAGGCAATGTCTATTCACTCTTCTTCGATGTTCTTGAGATTATTCACCCCAAGGCCTACGCGGGTGCCTTGCATGAGGTAGTCAGACATGGAGATTCCATAAATAAGCGGTTTCTGTGCATTCGTAGGCGAGGCTTCAAACGCTTGCAGTGTATATTGGAAATATGCAGATGATTTAGTCGTGTTGGCGGGCAGGAAGGTTTTTATGGTTTCATCTTATTAGCACATTAATTTATAAATGCTGCTAATGGCCTTACAGATCGTTTTGACTTGTCCGTCAGCCAACCAAGAGCTAGAGTAATGAATAATATTTGATTTTAATCTGATTCATCCACTGACTTGCAAATTCACCACAGTACAATTTCCCTAAAACAAAGACAATTACAAATGTGTCTAGTTATCAACCCATTTTAAGTTAACACTTTTGCTAGATAAATTTATGGGATTCTCAGTGTTCCTGATAGAAATAGAGTGAAAAATTCTTTATTAGTCGAAGTATCTTCTACCCAGTCACTGAATTGGAGGAATTAATGAATTTCTTCATACATAATGCATTTATTAAGTTCACAGAGAAGATGGAAGGATCAGAAGGAGTGAGAGAAAAGAAGGAGAGAGAGAGAAAAAAAACCGGACTGGTCTTTTTTGCCAGCGACTCGATCAGAACAAAACCTTAACGCCAACTACTGTATTACGTAGGTACTGCCAATTACCTTTAGAAATAAACGTAAAAGAGATTCTTGCTTGGGCTTTTCATATCTTAGATTTTCTCTCTTTTCTAAATTAGCAGTTTCTTCTTTGTTTACATGTCAAGTTATAAAGATTATAATAAAGCACTATAATAAAGTTGGAAAATAAAATCAAATAAAAAGGAATTTTGTTCTCCACAGTAGTGTTTCCTGTTTTCTCTTTACTAATTCATATATTTTCTTTATCTTTGGGTTTATTTGATTATATCTGTTATTTCATCATAAATCTTAAACTTTTTACTTTTTTTCGTCCATTTTCTTTCCATTATTTCTCTGTTATATTATGTTTCATTTACATAATATACATAATTTCCACATACTACTTTCCCTTTCAAGACGTTTTATCAAAATAGTTTCTGATACCAAAGACCTTAGTCAAAGCTCATAGAAACACCGAAATTTTATTTTGAAGTTTCGACTTTGAAATTTTGACTCTTAATTATCATTCAGTTCTCTCAATTTCATTTTCGTTTAATTTAATTCCTTATTTTTTTTCATCTTTGAGAATAGCCTTTGGTATAATCTGAATACACATCTAAACCTAAAAAAAAAGAAATTATAGAAATAAAACAAACTGCTCATCATCGCACAAAGGCTTGACGGAAACGCCTTGTAAATAATACCTTGTCTTTTGCACTCGACTTGCCAAGACGAGTGATAAACCAAGAGGCTAAGGAGAGACAAAATCGACCGTGAAGTGACTTGCGGAATCTGTGGCACTTGTTTTCATCTCTCTTCAACATTGCAGATTGCAGAAAATGTTAAAATGAGATCCAGGAAGATAAATGGGTGATATTTCTTTCGTGATGTGTTTCAGCATTGGATATTTTAGAAATGAATTGTTGGGAATACAAGGATTGGGATTTTTTATGCCTCTTTTCCGCGTTGCAAATTGAAGAAAATTTATGATTTGGATATTTTTTTTTAAGCAGGTGTATGGGTGATATTTTTACAATAATTTTCAACATTGCAGATTTTAGAAGATTAATTATTTAGACTTAGGATGATACATTGGTGTTTTTCATCATTTTTCAACATCCTTAGTTGAAAAGAAAGAAGAAAGTTTTTAAGTTGGAAACATTCCTTCATACATTTTGAAAAATTGTAGACTGCAGAAAAATTATTGATTAGTGATTCTTCCTAGATTTTTATATGTGTTTTGATTAATAAGGAATGATGTTGTGAATTAATGAGCAAAATAACACGAGTGATAATTCTTTCATATCTTTTTTATTTTTGCATATTGTCAAAATATTTTTGCTTGGAGTATTAAAAACATTCATTAGACCATTCCTCATCAATATTCGGAATAACCAAGCGTTAAGAATAAATTAAAGTATTAGACAGAATTAAAGTAAAATAAATACAACGTTATGAAACTTTTTTGCATATTTTTCCAATATTGCAGACTGTTGAAATCCATTACCACTCAACATGATTGCAGATAAATTGTAGATTGTGTAAAATACGAGTAAATAAATATAGGAAATTATACTTCCTTGGTGATTTTCCTGGTACTATTAACACATACTATTATATAACGAATTTGTATTCACTTTACGTATAAAAAAAATCCCACTGTAATCTGCCAAAATAAAAAAGACACTTTGACCTATGTACTTTCCTTGTGAAGAAGAAGCAAGAAAAAATATTAAATATATAAATACAAATAAAATAATATGATAAAAGTATGCATACGAGAGATGAGGGAAGACATAAAACAACATCAGTTACAAGAGAAAATTGAAAGATTAGTGAGCTGTAAAGCATATTTGCATCTACTTGAATATTCTTCGCTACTGCCTTGACTCCTGAACAAAACAACGATACCTTGATAAGTGGTTGATATTGCAAAGAGGTCAACGTTGAATTTTCTCTGCTGCTT